GAGAGAGAGAGAGAGAGAGAGAGAGAGAGAGAGAGAGAGAGAGAGAGAAGTAAGGAGAGAAGGAAAGCTTTACCTGAGCCGACCTCCATTGCCTACGCCCCTATTCCGTCGCCTCTGCTCTCCCCTCCGCTTCTTCCGATCTGCCCTGGGCCCGACACCTTCATCTCCATCGAAGCCGCAAGCCTCCAGATCTCCTCCTCCCGCAAACCTCCGTCCCGAAGCTGCGACCCTTACCCGACCTCTCGGTCGTCCCTATCCCGTCTGGACCAATCTCCTCCTCCCTCTCGAGTTCGCGACTGGATCGATCTCCAGTTGACGTCGCCCCTCCTAGCCGAGCTCTCTAACCCGAGCTCCTCCCTCACCCGACCTCCATACCTGACTCTCCTTAGGTATAGGTTTTATTATTATTATTATTATTATTATTATTGTTATTAAATATAACATTAATGATAATATTAATAATAATAACAATTATTATTATTATTATTTAAAAAATATTTTGCAAAAAAACAAATCTCTTCCTCTCTTGCCTCGACTGGCGTGTTGGGCCGGCAAACCATCTATGCATGCCTTTATTGAGCGTGGTAAGAGGGAAACCGGTGCGACACTTGCGGCGAGGTAAGCGAGTGACCCCTCGGCCCTCAGATTTCCGCTCTCGACGTTGGCGACGAACTAACAAACCCCCTACGCGCTCACGTAGCGTTGCGGGGAGGGAAGCTAGTCCGACGCCTACGACGAGGCAGACAATCGCCTAAAGTCCTATCCTCGACGTTCAAGATGAGCTGGCAAATCCCCTACGCGCTCACGTAGCATTGTGGGGAGGGAAACTAGCCTGAAGCCTACGACGAGGTGGGCAGTCACCTAAAATCCTATCCTCGATGCTTGCGACGAGCCGACAAACCCCCTACGTGCTCACGTAGTGTTGTAGGGAGGGAAACCGGCGCGGCTTTTGCAACGAGATGGGTAAATCCTCGGAGTGCTCATGTAGCGCGAGGGGGATAAAATAATGACAAACAAAAATAAAACACTCTTAAACGCTCACGTAGCGGGCGGGGATAAAAAAAAATATTTGTGATCGCGGTGTCATTTTTGACACCTACCTGAAGCGCTCACGTAGCGTTGAGGGGAAGGTTGCCTCTTGGTTTTTCCCCTAAATGGGGGAGATGCCGGGAGGCTGCCAAAATTTCCACTGAAATCGAGGATTCTGACAAATTTTGGAGAGCTTGAACTTGCAATATTTTGGACAAAATTTGGAACTTAATTTGAACATGAAATTGAGCCTAAGGCAAAGTTACATGAATCCAAATCTAAATTGCACATTGGCTCGAACTCAAATTCAAATGAGCTAAATGTGGTGGACATTGAACTTGAACAAGATTCAGACTACAGGGGACATAGAACATGACTCGAACAAGTTGAACACGCAAGGGAACTTGATTGAACGCAGTGGACTTGTGGATCTAAATCATAACAAAAATTAAATGATTTCTAAAGGTCAAAACTCAAATAAAGTAAAATCAAACTGGGATCAAATTCAAACTAAATTGAGTATTCAATTGAACTTGCAAGGACTTCAGAAGATCCTGAACAAGCACTTAAACAAGTACTTTGAGCTCGAATCAGATTGAATGCAAGGGACCAGTGAACTTGTGTAACTAACTCGGACTCAAGTGCACTCAATCTCAATTTGAAAGTGAAATGAATTGAACTAAGACTTGAACGTGAATGAGGTCTGAACTCAAGAGCAGCACAGGAATCCAAGTATGAACCAGACTTAAACGAGCACTTGAATTCGAACTGTACGACATTAAGCGGGGATTTGTAATCTCGATGAACCTGAGTCTAAGTGAAACTTAACTCGGACTCAAACATATACAAAGGACAAAGCTTGAATCTTGTGCAAGGGAGTTCAAATTACAAGAGCATTCGTACGGTCAAAAGTGACTCAAAGTACATTACAAGACCTCGATGCATGAATTCCTAAAACAATCCCTACAAACGCCTGTTGATTGAAGAAGGCGATACTGGAGATCAATAGTGGAGAACTCGTCCCCTATAAACAAATACAATCACCGAACCACCTGAGATTGGTGAAAGGTGGACGTGATGCAAGGATAATGGTTCTCCTACGAATATTCCCAAGAGGTCGTAGTAAATACAACAGTCCCCACAAAGTCAATGCACCATAATGGTAAGAAGCAACAGACAGTTGTAAGGTGTACGAGTCCTACCCATATGTAGCAGTCAAAGATCCATCCCTGCAAACAAGTGCAAATACATCAGAACGACCACCTGAGATTGGTGAAAGGTGGAGATGATACTAGTGCAAATGGCTCTCCTACGAACATTTTCAAGAGGTCATGGTGGATACAACGGGTCCCTGCAAATGAATATGAGCTGGTTGTGGATAACAACAGTGGATATATCATAGGTATAACAAACCATTGTGGGCACAAGTACAGATATCACCTACGACAACGGTGATTAAGATCTATAAGTACGTAGGGTACAAGGGCAACTCGATGTACGAAAAAGGACACCCCCTTGAAGGAATGGAAGAGATGCTTGAGCAAATTCGAACTAAACTTTATGGTGTTCCAAAGTCCCTTCTTGACCCTACACTCAGGAATAAAACAGTTTTGGTATCTACAAACACCGGAAGTAACAAGTCCACTACACCGATGATCTCAAAAGTTCTTTTTTTTAAATCAGCGGACTTCAAAGTCCAGAAGAAACCCTCCCGGTTGAATAAGAAAGGGGAGTCAACATCAAGATTACTCGCCACCGGATCCGCAATACTCGTACTAGCGGACAGAAGGCGTGTATAAGCTCTTAAATGAAATGTTGTGTGTATTCAGATGGCAATTGCCTGCACAACTAAAATATTTCTAAGTACTACAAATGCACCTTAGTTTGTATAAACATAGGTACACTAAAGGGGTAAATACAATCTCAACTAGCATGGGCCCCGGGGAGCATGTTATTGGTACACACGTGACGCCTAGGGATGCTGCGTGGGTCGATAAGTGAATTCAAGTTCGAACCCGATCCTCCTATACGGATCAATAGGGGTCGACAGGGTTCGAACCTTCGAACAAATACACGGTTGTGGCGACCAGTGTATTTGTTTTAATACATTCATATTAGGCCTTCAAGGCTTATAATCAAGAAAATTCACAAACAAGAGCACAAAACCTACGAAACCTGATCTCCTATCAGCAAATTGATAGGTTCGACAAGATTCAATCAACGAATGGAAATGACCCCATACCCCGATGATGGCCATGTTGAACGATGATCTCAATCGGAGGGGTTCACAAATGTTTTCAAATGCCACCCAAATGTTCATTCAAAATCCAAAACTCCACAAAGTCCAAAACCCAACAAATCTCCAATTCCAGATATTTAAATTCAAAATCATCTATCAATCACTTAAAACAAAATACATCCACCCTCCGCAACAGTTTGTAGGGGTGGATAAGTTAAAATCTACTGCAGCTCACATGGAGCTAATGCCTTGTCGAAAATATCACTAAGATCCATTCTCAAACAATCTCCTGCCAATAAGGACATGGTATGTGTCATATAACCGGCGATTTTGCCGCCAAATGGCACCGCAGGATAAACGGTTATGACCCGGGGCCCTTTGAACCGAGTGATTTTGCCGTCAAATGGAACCACGAAATACTGGTTATGACCAGAGCCAATACGCTCCTTGTTGGCATCAAATCCTTGAGATATGAATCAATAGGATATAATCGATAGGGCATAAAGCTCTCTGTTAGCTAAGGTGGATTCAAATTTGTCCCCTTAGACAAACATTCACCCCAGGTCTACCAGGTACCCTAGGACGAAGCAACCCATGGCTGCCGACAAGGATTTTTTTGTCAGGTTGGTATTTCCTATCACTCCTCTGACTAAGTATACCAGGGACCATGATGGCCCGGGATGACGAAACCATGGGATCTTGATCGGGTCTATCATCCATTCCCCCACCATTCGCTTTAAGTGCAAAATAGTGAAATTTCTAATTTTAAATGTCAAACTTTGAACCTCCAACACACAAATTCTCAAATTCTCCAACCATTCCAAATGTCCAATGCTGCTACTATATGCTAGATGCTATGTATCTCTACATATCTGATTGACGACTAGCCTTAATCGAAAGTTCTCTCTCGTTATCAGGAGGGGTAATTAACTATAGGGGCTTGCGCCTATAGGAAACCAGAACTCAGATCATAAAGTCCTCGCAAAATGAGGGCGAAATCTCTGGGTAGTGTCTTATCTACAAACCCATCTGCCTTCCAAAATTTACCCCGGAACTTAATTCCATTAAAACTCCCCTCGCCAAAGCAAAAAGCACAATTAGCGCGGGCGGAGGCTGGGGCCGAATTTTCGGAGCCCACAATTCTGTAAGATTATGCCTGAATTGACTCACGACATCAACAATGTGTTAGGAAACACTTGTAGATCCCAAGTATTTTCTGTTAATCTTCGGAGAACAACGAGAATTCTCCACAAAAATCCACACTAAATCACGAAAGCAGTAGATAATTTGTATTATTTGATGAAATAGAAACGGAAAATTGCAAGATACAATTGATCTTCAATTTGAGAGGAGGATCAATCTCTCCCAAATCTCTAGACGCCGCTATAGCCCAAAGAAAACCTATAAAATCTCAAATTTCAGCCAAATTCAAGATGCCAGAACCCCAGGAATACTTGAATGGTCTTGTATCTAGACAATGATACATTCCCTAACGTCATTTGCTCCCACTTAAGTTGGAATTCATTTTTGGGTTAATCATGAATTCGTTTTCTAATGTTATTTGCTTACTCCCTTCTTGAATTTGCAGATAGTGGTGCAGTACTTACATTTGGTTGGGGACTTTATGGACAGGTGAGCATAGTTGGTTAGATTATATAGCACTGTGCATTTACAGTTGATTTACAGCTTTGATATTCAGTTTGTCTTCTTCCACAGCAGCTAAATCTATGCTATGGTGTTGCCTGATTCCTATTAAACGTGTTATATCATTCAAACTGTTTGGTTTCCGATGCAAAATATTGAAATTTTGCACCTTGAAATTGAAGTAATAGAAGTCATCTATTGCTTATAACAATGAAAATGGTTATCGTACATTTTAGTTATCATTTGCCACTTGATTATTTGATCATTTAAGATGATTGTTAACCATGATGATTCATAGATTTATTTGGCCATATCTCTAAATGTTTATCTTCTATCCATTTGTAATTTTGTATAGCACGTGTTTGTTTAGCTTCCAATATTTGTATTGGCACATTGCTAAAACAATATTATCTACAGTAACGATTCATTGCATTCACCGCTGCTGTAACCGATAACCTTTTCATTATGAAAATTATTGATTGCCACATCGCTTCCCTTTAGCACCATAGCATTGAGTCAAAACCATAATTTTGTTAGTTGGAGCGCCGTCGCGGCAGTGTTTCCCAGCGCCACAACACTCGTGTGTGTCAAATGCCGCGGCGGTTCCTTTGCCAAAAAAGCTAACGCTTCAAGTTCCAACGTCAGCGCTGCATCGCTAGTCGATTTCTATAAATAGGAGAAGCTGTTAACCATTTTCTTCACTGTGCATTGTAGTGCCACTTTCCCTCTGTTTAGTGCTATTTTTGTAATTTCTTCCTATCCTTGCTCAACTTCATAGCCCCTAAGGCACATGCGAGTAAGAAGAGGGCTTCATCTTTTGACAAAAAAGAGTTTTATTTCAGCTGAGGCAGATGAGTGTTATGCCCAACTTTTTGTCAGTAAGCAACTTATCCCCGAGAGAGTTTCAAAATGTGGGGGGGGGGTATCTTGGGTAATATTGTTAGTAGGTAATGGGAAACACTGAGTGAAGAGCCCATTGCCTGTATAGTTAATGTTGTTGGGGAATTCTTTGCCAACATAAATGAGGCCCAAAACAACAAATGTTTTTTGAGGAGGAAATGGGTTCCATTTGATCATGCTAGCATTAACCAAATTTACAAACGTTGGGACATAGAATTTGATTGCTATTCTCTCTTTGTTCAAACACCCATTGACCCCCAGGAATTACTTAAGAGTTTTGATTGGACCCCATAGTGGAGCTGTGTGGAAGGAGAGAGGGAAATTTAATTAATTTTCTAGCATCTAACCTAAACCAGATTTCAAAAGCTTTGCACTATTTTATTTCTGCCCGATTTTTGCTAAGCAAGAATATTAGTGAGGTGACCAAATAAAGAATGATTTTAAACTATGTTATCCATGTGGGTCACTCTATAGATGTTGAGAAACTAATTTATTCTATCTTGTTGTATATCATTATGGGTTCCACTTCTATGGGTTTAGGTCATCCTTCCTTAGTTAACTCCCTTTGTGTCACTGTTGGTGTTTTAGATGACTCTAGTAAGGTGCTTAAGCACTACGTGAACTTAAGTTGCATTGCGGTGCTTGAATGTGCAACAGTGCAGCATTGCATTTAACATGAATTTTCTCGAGACTGTAGCACTGCATCCTTAAACCTAGATGTTGCAGTGCTTGAAGCATTAATGTTACGATGATCTAAAGCCTAATGTCGTGGCACTAGCTCAGTTTTAGTGCAGATTCAAAATGCTCGAAAAAAAAAATATAATCCTTTAATATAAAATCACAATTAGTAAACTCATGACAAACACACACAATAATTTTCACAATGTACATAAAACATAAAATAACCAAAAACATTTTATACAAACAACACTAGGATTTAACACAATAGGATTGAGTTGCCTTCCAAACAGCGCTAAGTATGTAGTTTTCAGCCAAACTTGCCTAGATTTGTCATTTTGGCTGTCACATCACTACTATTCCTCAACAGATTCATACTTTGTTTTTTCCCTTATTCCTTAGGATTAACTTTAGTGGTGCTGGGTAATATGCCATGTAGTGTACTGCTAAATTAAATTTCTAATTGCCGTAATTGATTCTTTAAATTCCTAATGACAACAACTTGACTATGCAATTGATTTCCCATATGAAGCACTAAATATTTCAAAGGTCTCTTCCTATCTTTATATTGATTAATCTGATTAAAGCCTGGGGGATAATAAGGTCTAGGGTTCACTACAAGCTGTTGAGGGCTATCATTTTCTCTATCTCTTGAGCAATAGAATCACTAGCAGAATTTAAGTTATTCTCATCCAAATGCATAGGTGAACTTTAGGCTATACTAATTCTAAGATTGTCTAACTTAGATATGGCCACTACCTGAGCAGTCAAAATAGTTAAAGCATCCGACTTATAGATATTTGCTACTCTCTTAGGGTTTACCCTATCAGAAGGCCACTAGAAGTTGTTTGTTGTCAGTTCCTCTATCAAAGCATAAGCCTCATTAAAAGGTTTTAACATCAAAGATCCTCCAAATGTTACATCAATTATAGACCTAAGGGATTCTACAAGTCTATTATAAAATGTTTGAATCATCAACCAATCAGACAAAGCATAATGAGAGCACTTTCTAAGTATTTCCTTAAATCTTTCTCAGCTCTCATAAATTGAGTCTCCATCATATTGAAAAAAATGAAATAATATCATTCCTAAACTTCGTTATTTTTAAAGATGAAAAGTACTTTGCTAGAAACTTATGTGTTAACTCATTTTATGTGGTTATAGAGCCTGAAGGCAAAAAAATCAACCACAATTTAGCTTTGTCCTTTTAAAAAAATGAAAACAATTGAAGTCTAGTGGCATTATCACTGACTACATTGTACTTAAACATTGCAAAAATCAAGAAACTAGCTAAATATAAATTTGGCTCCTCAATAAAAGTTCACCCAAACTAAGAATTCTAAACCATTTGGATAATAACAGATTTTAGCTCAAAGTTATTAGCTTGAATAGTATGTCGGTTGATGTTCTGATGGATTCCATCTACTAATGGATTGACTCTCCCTAAGAGGTCTAGGTTGGTCTTGATCTGGATTTGGTTCGATCATATCTAAATCTACAGTCTTTTTAATTTTTTTTATTTTTGTAAGGGCCCTTTCTATTTCTAGGCCAAACAACATATATTCCTTACTAGGTCTACAATGCATACACAAACAAAAAATAATATATGAAAAGAAATTGAAAAATAGATGAAACAACAACTGCAAAAACAATCAAAAGTTCACAATTTCACAATTGATAAATACAAATGCAAATACAACTAACCAATTAAAAATTAAACAATAAAAGCGGGATAAAATAATAAATATGGTACAATTTTTGGGCAATATAAAGGAAATTGCAAAAATTACACCTTTGTGTCTCGGGAACGACGCCAAAGATTTGATGGAGATTTTCTACTACTATATATGCATGCGATATTCCTAGCTACGCACGTGCATTTGCCGATCAAGTAATAAAATGTATGAGAAGAGTATTGATCTCATGAGGACACAAGTGTGCTACAACCGTCCCTAGTATTGCTTACTCAAGCCACAAAATGTATCTACTCTATGAAATAAAGGTGAGTGTTGGAGGAATTGCCCGAAGGATGAGGGCTTATAGGGTGATTTGGAATCAACCCGTACTAGTTTAGATGAAAAGAGACATCCTCCCCAGCGGGACACAGTTGTGGGTGGTCAGTGATTCAAGCCCAACATTAGATTGCTAAAATGTAAAGCCCAACATTGGATAGTTTGAGCACTTCTGAGTGTCCCTCAGTGAGGTGCTACTACTACTGAAAAAATGAAGTAAAAAGTGAAAATAACCAGAATTAAGATGTTTTGGACTGATGATAGTGAATGAACCTATGTTTTCCTAACTAGATTCATCTACAATAGTTGTGAATCAGACCATATGCACCCTCATATCTTTGTCGAGTTTGTAAGGATGTAAAGAAATGTTTTCACCTCTCTACAGTGATTCTATCTCCATAGATCCCATAATCATATTCATCCTATGTCTAAGCATGAAAGTTTTCTATCTCAATCCTCATTATTTCAATATTCCTCCGTCACACTAAATTTTAACTTCATATGTGGCCATTACATAGAATTAAATTAAGCACGTGAGTAATTGAGAACTATCATTCACACACACACTCACACACATATATATAAGTTTATATTAGGAAAAAAAAAGATTATTCACATCATCAGCCCAAAATAAAATAGTTAGTCAACCATAGAATTAATTTGGAACAAAATATTTTTCATCACTTGCTTTCAAGAAAAGATACAAAAAAGAGAATGAAGAAAATATCACCCGGATTTGAGAATCCCACACAGATCCTGCAGATGGACTCTTTCCGGAGTGGTTTCTTCTTCACACTTTTTATCTCCAATCTCTCTTCCACTTCTAAGTGTTGTTTTGCCCACTACATAGATGACCAACCACTCCACTAAACATTTCTCCACACTCTTTTCCGTCCATTTCCTCAAAAGAACAAAAAATTATTTATATTTACTCATATAAACTGACTCAGGCACCACGACGCTCGATAGGGTAGCATTGTGGCGTTACAATGATTAACAAGCGCCTTGGCGCTGTTGACTTTTAGCTGTGGCATTGAGTTGACCCGACCCAACATTTCCCTAGTAAACCATTCTTAATTGCCCTGTCCTGGAGCTGCAAAAGATTGGGCATCGTGGCGCTCAAACACGTCCTTTGGCATTGCGGCGCTCTGGAGGTCGACGCTTCAGCGTTGAATTATTTGCAAAAATGATCGAGAGTAGTGAGTGGAGGCGTTTCTTTTGTGGTGTTGAGGCGCCAATAGCGCTGCGGCCCTGACTGTTTTTTAGCCGGACGTTGAATTAATTTTAATTTTTCTGAGACTTGAGCATTGCGATATCTAGTTCCAGCGTGTCTGGGGTGCTGCAATGCTTGTTCTAACTTTGTAACTTTTTGACTTTTTTCTGAAACATTCCTGCACAACATCAACTAAAACATACATTTTTATTGGAATATAATACAATATAAACTTACATAATTTTCACTTAATAGGTTTCTCCAATTATTTATTTGCTAGTGTTGAAGAATCACATTTTGTGGAAGTGGGAAGAGTTAGCTTCTAGGCTGCGAGAAATATTTCAGAACAAATTTAAGCACAATATCAGGTTTAGGTTGTATGGTCTGACCTATCTTGGTGCTAAGTTGTATTACAATGATATTTAGAGCGTAAGAAAATAGCCATATCAAGCGCACAAAAAATGCATGTTTAAATTCAATGGTACCATGCTAGAGTGCAAAATTTGTACTATGAAGTTCTCTTGCTGGTAGTAAATTTAAGCATCATTTTGACCTAATGAGATTGTGTGGTACGATTGCATGTTGAGTAATAGTGAGCGAGGATCGTGTAGGAGCGGTAGCTTCGGGATACGAAGGAGGGATTCAGTGGAAGGGTTGGGGGATTTGCATGTGGCTCAATTGCATGCTGGAGCAAGTGGGTGGTAGGCGGGCAGGCAAGAGGGGAGGGAAGATGGGATGGATGCTGGAGGTTGCATGAGGTTTATCTGTTGGATTTGGGTTGCATGCAAGCAAGGAAGAGATTGCAAGATCGGCTTTAGCAGGAGGTAGGGGAATGAGGGTAATGTTCTAGGGAGCACCCAAATGACATTCCCTTCTTACCATCTACAAAGTATTTCTATGTGGAGATTTCCCTATGTTAACATGGGCCAACTCAAACAAGTTGTAAAGGTTTCCTAGTGAAATACTTGCTTATGTGCTATACTTTTAAGCTAATATAGTCACTTAGTATTTGATTTGAGAATGTGCACAAGTTCTACTTATGTATGCTCCTTAGATTAGGAAGGAAGGCTACTAGGAAGTTTGTTATGTGATCCTAATCAAATAATTTACATTTGTACTCTTCATCTTTATATAATTAACTTTGTACTTAATTTTGATGATCGGTAATATTTATTTTGACACCTTTCTAACCTGTCCTGCCGAGCACTTGATTTTAAAACATTCTCCAAATTGTTCTCTCATATGAAATATAATAAGGATTAAGATCATTAAAGTTTTGGAGTAATCCCAACATATACATTTCGGTAGCCGATTGATTTAATTTGCTGTGGTAAATCTGAGTCCAACCTTGCTTTTGTACAGTGAGATAATTTGCTGACGGTCATTTTCTTCTCCTTTCAGGAGAATATATTTTGGATAGCACAGTAGCTCTGTGCTGAACTACTTAACTTCTTTTGCTTTTGTCAATTTACTTCCGATCAAATTTAGTATGATGGGTTGATTTCTGCTTTATGACTGCAGAGCATATTGTGAACCTTTAGCTATTTTGTCATCTTGAATATTACTTCTAGATTGACATTGACTATAAGAATAGAGCAAAATAATTTTGATGTACAACCCTTTGAATCATTGATTACTACCTTATGTTGTGTCCTACTCCACCTTAATATTAACTGCTTTCCAGGATTAATATGTAGGTATAGTAGAAAGGATGGAGATAAAGCAAGTATATTGTTGAAGATGAGGTTCCTTGTATCATGGAGATATTGACTTTTAATCCTTCATAATTTTCTCTTAAATCTTGAGGTCACATGGAATGACTAATCATTCAGTTTGCTCTTTTGTAATTTTTACCTGTGTGCTCAATATCCAGTGCGGGAATGGATCTACAGATGATGAACTCAGTCCAAAATGTGTTTCTTCTCTTTTGGGCGTCAGTTTGCTCGGAGTTGCTGCTGGTTTATGGCACACACTGTGTATTTCAGTTGATGGTGGTGTCTATGCATTTGGCGGAAATCAGTTTGGACAGCTAGGAACCGGTCTAGATCAAGCAGAGGTTTGACTTTTAATTTTAAATAGCTAGCCATCGTCGTCAACTGTGCATCATACCTTTTTGGAATGCTGTGAATTGGACTTCATATTGTATCTTATTGTTACTTCTTATTGCAGACACTTCCCAAACTATTGGATGCCCCATCATTAGAGAGTATGAATGCGAAAATTGTTTCCTGTGGTGCTCGCCACAGTGCCATAGTTACAGGTAGTTTTCGAAAATTTAAATTGGAGAGGATTGTGCACTTTGTAAAGAATATGATAAAAGCTTTTGGGTGAATCATTTTAATGTTACATCAATGTATGGCTTTATCACCGACGTTGCATTTTATTTTACAGAGGATAGCAGAGTTTTTTGCTGGGGATGGAACAAATATGGCCAGGTATGAAAGTAATGCAATGTGCTAGTAACTAGAAGTTAACTTATGAATAGTTTAATTGTCTTTATTTTATGTGCTATTCTCCCTCCATCCTTCTCTCTCATGAATATTTTTTTTATTTTAGTAAAAGTAAGTAAAAGTATATTTTCTAAGTGTTGCAGAATTTAAAGTATGGATCGCTCATAATTTTAAAGTGTATTTACTAGTTTTCCTAGATAAGATACATGAAATGGTACACACATGCGTGCGCGCACACACACTTAAAAACTAGTGTTTTTATTGGTTTTCAGATATCTTATTTTTCATATAATCAGATTCATTAATAAAAAAAACTAGTGATGCTTCTAAGGCTCATCAATTTTAAATATTATCTTTATTTCGGTTATCTGATAAATGAGTTGAATTTGAACCTTTTTTTAATGTTAAAAAATTTGAGAATAGTTGATTTTCAGTCTAGTTGAACAAAATTTGGCACATTTATTTTATGCTTTTTTACACTCTTAATATGAATTGTGTAAAATTCCAAACTTCATTGTAGGGTTCTTCCAATAGTTCTTCATTTGGAGAGTCATTTTGTAATATATAATAATCTACTGCTAGATGATTCATCATTACTTTCATTTTGGTTGATCTTACGGATTTACTTGTAATATTAATTTCATTTGCAACTCAATTAAGTGGATCTAGAAGACGCTGATTAAATAGAATAATAATTGATTAAACCTTTTCTTATATGTAATGTCAAATAGACACTCTGATGTCAAACTTTAGCAGGGCATGAAAAGAATTTATAATTAATTACTATATTTCCTTTCTCTTGAGATTAACATATTTGATTCTTTAGCATACTTATAAATGAGAACTTTTTTATGATTTACATTGCCTCTGCGTGGATATAACCTGGCCCTTAGTCAGCATGATCGTAATGAAATATCATAAACCAATATTGGGTCATTGTGCCCTGATGGGGCCCAGAGCCCTACTCAAGTGAGCAAAAATCAATAAATATGATACAAGGCACTTATGAGTCTAGATGATACAATGAATGTGATGCACAAAAGAAATAAAGTTTAATGGATTAAAGGTCCTAATTACATAAGAATCTGCTCTCTTTAGGCGTGCACTAAAAAATTATAATTAATTACACACGAATGGGGAAGGAAGATGAATATGAGACACTTCTCTTTTGAAATCCACCAATTCATACCCTTAAACAACAACAACAATATCAAGCCTTTATCCCACTATGTGGGGTCGGCTAAATGAATCCTTTTTCTCCATTGTGACCTGTTAAATTTAAAATTTCATTTAAATCTAATAAAGGAATGTCATTTCTAATATTTTCTAATCAAGTATTTTTAGATCTACCTCTATCTTTTTTAACATAAGTCAGATCTAATACATCTATTTTCCTGACTGTGACATCGGAAGGCCGCCATTTTATATGACCAAACTATCTAAGACGACTTTCTCTAATCTTATCTTCCACTGGAGCATACCCTCAAACCAAAAAAAAAAAATATAGTTGAAAAGAATCACAATGGGAAGCTATAAATATAATAATTAAATTAACAACCTATAGGAGATATTATATACACAATGTGTAAACTAATATTTGGAGTGTACATGTATTTTACACAATATAACTTATAATTGATTAATTGAATCCTATAAGTGAAACTGTACAAATTAACTTATGTTTAGCCTAAGATATTAACCAAGTGAATGAGTTTATTACTATTAGGTATAATAGAAATTTTTAACTCAATTATATAAGTTATGACAATAATTACACTAGCACAAAAGCTATATAAGTGAAAACACAAATACAAATTATGGTGAAGGTAAGGATAATACCACATGTGAGAGAAATAAATTAATTTGGACAATATTGATTGAATTTACTCCACCTTGTCGTCATCAGTCTATACGAAGGAAAAAGAAGGAAAAAGAGAAAATGAAAATGCAAAAAAATAAAAAAAAGGAAAAAAAAAGGTAGAAAAAGAAGGAAAAAGATAAAAAAAAGGAAAATAAAAAAGGAGTAATAGATTTTTTTTTTCTCAATTTTCGTGACCTCCACCTTGTCGTCATCAGTTTATACGAAGATATAAGTCCTAAACTTTAAAAACCCTGTTTTTGGCATTTGTGTCGAGCCGGAAAATCCCCTATACGTGCTCTTGTAGCACGGTAGGAGGAAACCCGATGCGACACATACAATGACGCGGGTAAGCCCTATACACACTCTTGTAGTGTGGTGGGGAGTCCTTAAGTACCTGTACGCGCTCTTGTAGCGTGGCAGTGAAAACCATTTGTGTTCTTTAAGCAGGTTCTTTGGAGCCTCCATACACGCTCTTGTAGCATAGTGGGATCGAAGATGTACAGCCTCAGTGTCATCCGACACCAACCATACACGCTCTTGTAGCGTGGTGGGATGGTTCAGTTTCCCTTAGTTTCCCCTAAACGGGGAGACGCCGGGAGCTATCGAAATTTTCAATAAATACAAGGGACTTGATATCAAATAAACAAGGACTATACAAAAGATTTGGACTTGAACTTAAAGCTTAAAAAGACATGAGTAAATAATAAAGATTTTGAACTTAAGTAAAATGAAATTGAAATAAGCTCAAACTTGAACTTGATTTGAACACTGATTGAGCATGACTTGAAGCAAGTGACAACAAACTAGACTCAGACTTGAGCTTGATTTGGACAGCAGAGGACCTGTTTTGAACTCAAATGAACAAATACATGAGTCATAAAACTTGAATTTGCTACTTGAACAACAAAGGACTTGAATCAATTTTGGACATCATGGAACCTATGTTGAACTTAAATGGATATTGAATAAATGACATTAAATTTGACTTGGACCAAAGATTAATACTTAATATGGAAATCATGAACCATAGGAGTGACAAAATAAATGATAAATAAATGAATTAAGATTCATGCATAAATTGATTACAAGCTTTGACATAAAATTTCTTTTTGGACAACAACAATTAACTTGTAACAATCATCTCAATTGAAATTAAAATATTGAGGAATATGGTATCAAACTCATCATGCATATAACAAATCCTCTTTGAAGATAAGGAGTTTGCAAGTGGAACTTGTTTGCAAACAAAGAGAAGATTGTGAAGGATATGATTTGGTCACAAAGCCATGGCTTGAAATCTTTGTAGCATGATAGCGGATTAGTAGCATTGGATTTAACTCATCTCCAATATGGGCATTTATAGTTTTATCATAAGTAAAGATAGACAAATGTTGCAAATCATATGAAGACAACAATGATGGATTATGATATATGTATCTATCATTCAAACATGCACATTACCCTCATACAAGCAAAGGTGGAGAATAGGCTGTAGATGCAAGCTCCTACGAGCTACACAAAAGCTCATCATGTGTACAATACACTGTCCACAAGTAAGTATAGAATATGTGCAACAAAGGTGAAAATACACTGTGAATGACAAATGAATGCATTCGAGTAAGAAAAGTGAAGCTGATGGTAATCTTTATGGCAATCATGTAGAAAGATGCAGTAATCCCTTCTACATTTACTTGCGAACACCATGAAGGAGAAAGGTCCTATGAGATCCAAGTAGGGTCTAGATAAGCATAAAAGGATTGTCAAGGAATATAGTTTAGCCAGTAGTCAACATCAAGATTCAAATGAGCACATTGACCTGTATGCAAGAAGCAACGGGAGATTGTCAATGTGAGGAATCTCTTGATCGTACAAGAGTTTGTACGAGTTTCAATGACACTACAAGAGACTCATGCCACAATCAACATATCAGTTGCAACCAAGAGGATTTGACATGCAATGGAAATAACAATGTGATACATCTAGATGTATTCAAGTGAATGTCAACACATAATGCATTGCGCCCACTAGAGTTAATGATTAATATTTGGAAAATATGTTGTTAAAGATTAATGCAAAGTTTAATTAAACTCACAATTACAAATAGGAAACACACATGTTATTTCAATCATCTCGAGGGCTACAACGTTATTTTAGAAATGGATATCTCGCATGATTCTCCCGGATGGCCCGAAGTGCCTTCAATTGTTGTAGTTGTTAGTGCAAGGCAGTGATCGCAGATTTCGAAGTACATGACATCAGTAAGGACGTAGTCATCTAAGTTTGAAATGATTGATTCTTCATTTAAGCAAATAACATAAAATAATGATGATGGCATAATCAAGGAGTTGTTTATTGATTTCTATACAAGTTCTGGGAATAGAAAGCCCGATCAAATTATTATTTTCAAAGATGGAGTGAGTTTTAGTTCAACCGGATTCTGAACATTGAGTTGGATAAGGTTATTGAGACTTGAAAGCTTCTTGATGAACACTGTTCGTGCATCTAACATATCACCTACATGCAAATACAGAGGGGCTATGACAAATACGAGTTCCTACTAGTCATTATAGAAGACCCGTCAAATGTCCAAAATTTTCCAAAAAAATATCAAAATATGAAATATTTAAATTTGAAATAATCTATCAAATCACTTAAAACAAAATTTATCCACTCTCCGCAACATTTTGCCGGGGTGGACAAATCTAAAAATCACTTCAGCTCATAAAGAGCTAATGTCTAGTGGAGAATATCACTAGGATTCATTCTCAAATAGTCTCCTACTAGTAAGGACGTGGCACGTGTCCTCTAACCGGCAGTTTTGCCGACATATGGCACTGCAGGATAAACGGTTGTGACCGAGGCCCTCTGAATAGGGTGGTTTGCCGCCAAATGACACCACTAAATTATGATTATGGCCAGAGCCTGTATGCTCCCTAATGACATCAAATCCTTGAGATATGAATTAATATGATATAATAGATAGGGCACAAAGCCCTCTATTAGCTAAGGTGGATTCATAGTTGTCCCTTTAGGCAAACATTCACCCCAGGTCTACAAGGTACCTTTGGACGAAGCAACCCATGACTGTCGACAAGGATCCTTCTGTCAGGTTGGGTCGACTATCTCCTCTGACTAAGTAGACCAAGGACCATGATGGCTCGGGATGACGGAACCATGTGATCTTTATCGGGTCAATCATTCATTCCCCCACCACCCGTTTTAAGTGCAAGATGGTGAAATTTTCAATTTTAAATATCAAACATTCAAATTCCTAAGCCCATGCTGCTAACATGTATTTCTATGTATATTTATGTATCTGATCGACGACTAGCCTTAATCGAAAGTTCTCTCTCATTACCCTTACCGAGAGGGGTAATTAACTATAGGGGCTTGTGTCTATATGAAACAAGAACTCAGATCTAAAGTCCTCGCAAAATGAGGACGAAATTTTTTGGTAGTGTCTTATCTACAAACCCAATCTACCTTCCCGAAATTTATCTCGGAACTTAATCTATTTAAACTCCTCCGAAAAGCTACGGGGAGGCCGGGGACGAATTTTCGGAGCCCACATCATTATAAAAATCTGCAAATCAATATGTATAAATTTTGGCAATATCCTAATCATGCACATATACTGATTACTATTTGTTGATACATGAGCCCATGTGACTTATGTATGACATTTGTGATTTGATGATAACAAAATTTTTTTGGTGTTATCCAATGGTTTGCTAAGTGTTGTACATGTTTTATAATGGTGCTAGCTAAATTATGTTGATGATGATTTTTGTCCACCAGGCTTGAATGGAGCTTGTGTAGCTTATGGATAAGCTCAAAATGGTGAATTATGATGCTTGAAAGAAGCAAGCTGAATATTCTAACTAATTAGCTTAGTTTGTGTTAGGGGTGTCAATATTTGACATGGCCCAAAAATCCGACCCGAACTCGACTTAAAAAGTCCGGGTTCGGGTCGACCCGATAAAGAAACGAGTCGGGTTCAGGTCCTATCTTTGGACATGTTTATATTTCGGGTCGGGTTCGGGTCAACCCGGCAACCCGAGTTTTACCCGAATTGACCAGTTTAAGTTTGGTCGACCTTCTCCAACCGCGGTCGCAGGAACTGCTCCCGCTCAGTTGTTGTCGCCGACTACCGTCTGTCGTTGCACGCCGAACCACACCACGCCCTTAGCAGGCCTAACCCAAGCCGACGAATGCGGAATGCCCCGCCCGCACTCAGACATCGAATTGTTGGACGACAGTCACAGGCTCACACGACACTCAGCCACTCTCGCTCGTTGCTCGATGCCTCAACCAGTTTCCAGTTGACCTCGACGGCTTGGCCACTAGGGCAAGACGCCGAGACCCACTTGTCGACTCGTGCTTGTCGACGGAACCACAAGCGGCAAGCCCGCACTCGCGAGTTGCGCTGCAGCAATCGACTCGACCTCGATGACAGATCCAGATGGATGACAGAACTTAATTGGGTCCACGAGTCGAGTCGAGTCAACCCGTAACCTGTGGGTCGGGTCCGGTTGAAAATCCCAACCCATTTGTAAAATCGGGTTGGGTTCGGGTCAACCCGTTTATGCCTGGGTCAACTCGGGTTTGACCCGAATCTGACCCGTTGACTCGAATTGACACCCCTAGCTTGTGGGTGTTTGAGTAAATTATTTGATTGAGCATGATTTACATTAAATGTCTCACATATGATAAATACAATAATTGTGATATTGTAATTTTTTAATTAATAAATATTTTAGTTATAAAAATAAACTTATTATAGAATATCTTTAATATTTAGAGCTTAATTATTTATGATTTGAATTATTCTATGAATCCAAATATTATTGGACTTCTCAGCCAATCAGTGAGTCACCGCTGAGCTTTTATGGGGTTAGTGGGTCATTATAAGGTTTAGCTTCAGTCTATATCTACTAAATTTTTGTGCTAAAGACTTTTTTATTTCTGAGTTTCTATAAACTTTATTTGGTCTTCATAAATGGCTTCATGGCTTATTATAAAACCTTATCAAGTTATCATGAATTTATTTTTTTCGCAGGTGTCAATTAATCTTGTATTGTTGGGAATTTTTTGTCCTTTTTAGCCATCCATGAAATGCACATTTGTGCCGCTTACTTTAACTCATGTAACTTCAGAATACTATTACATCTCTTTTATTAAAATGAAGAGATTCCACTCTTATTCTTAAGTCATAAGAGAGAATAATTTCGGCCTGAAGGTTATATATTATCAACAAATAGAGATCAAAGTGTTCATCCTCATCACAATCCTTTGAGTACAATTAGAGAGTATATCTTCTATCAATTGCTTAGTCATAGTTGTTTATTTTCTTTGTGTTATTTGCAAGTCTTTTAATTATTGGTAATAGCTCTAGTAACCATTAATGTGTTAGAGTGATTTGGCAGAAGGTATCCTTTCATGTCTTGCTAAGAGTGTCTTAGAAATGATGCTTATGTCCATAATGAAACCAGTGGAATCCTAGTTCAAATAGGCAACTAGATGTGGATGTAAACCACTTGGGATATTGAATCACTAAATCATCAAATAAGTAATTAAACCATCATTTAATGGACATTTTATCGAGCTCTTAGCAAGCTATTTGTTGAATAATAGTTGAATAATAAACAAGAATGCTCGCGAATATAAATATACGAGTAGGTTAATATTCAAACAAGTTATTTTAAATTTCAAGTCTTAAAATTCTATTTAAACATTTGTTCAATTAGTTGAATAAGCGAATGAAAATGATCCTTCTGTGAACAAGTATTGAGATACTCATTGAGTCTACTGGTTTGCTTATAACCAAATACCTAAGTGGTACAAAGTCCCACCTTAAGGGGCAATATTATAAATAATAGGTTTCAAGTCAGGGTTTTTACCTCCTCGTTCAAAGCTTATGGCGCATACCTCATATGATAAAGTTTCACACGGCAGTCTTCCGATCTTCCGATTTATCTGAAGCACACAAAAGGCCGTCTGAATTGATCAATAAATATTTTGGTTATTAGATTTAGGCTTCGTTTGGTACGACTTTTTTGTTGTTTTTTAAAGCAGCTTCCTAATATAAAACTTTTAATTTTTCTACTAAAATGCTGTTTAAAGAAGCAACAAAAAAGTCATCCCAAATGAAACTTTATTCTGAAAGCTCAGATTGATCAAAACTGTTTAAAACTAAATGTTTTTAAAACTAAAAACTTGATAACATGTTCGAGGAGTTACTGAATAGTCTTCCCTTGTACAGCTTGGCCTTGGTGATTCTATTGACCGGAACATACCCTCTGAGGTCCCAATCGAGAACCTCCGCATCATGAATGTTTCTTGTGGGTGGTGGCATACTCTTGCACTTGCAAAATCTCCTATTTGAAATCAGATTCCAGTTTGCGTGCGCAAATGAAGCAGCAGTTTTGTTAGGTTATTAGGTAGATTTTAAAAGATGCATTTTGTGCAAAGTTGGCCCTGCCCTGCCTGTATGTTTATAATATTTGCATCCATTCTTTTTTTCTTGTATACCTAGTAATGCTGTATCATTTAGCTCTCTTCTATTACATTCTCCCTGCTTCTAGTTAGCCATGTACACAGTGCTGATTATAGATAGGTTCTCAAGATTGCTCTAACCAGAAATTTTCAAATTTATTAGTGAAATTATTGATCAAGCTTCATGTTATTATCAAATTAGTAGTGCAGATAGACACTACTATGCTCACAAGTTTCTGGACTTGTACTAAACACTGGCAAGAGTCTGTTGCAGGAAGTTTCTTCTTTTGCTGTGATGTAGAGTCGGAGTATTTGACCGTTGGTTTATTTCATCAGCAGCTATGGTGTTTCTCGACACCGTTAGGCTTACAGGTGCTGCAAAACTAAAAATGTTGATAGTAACTGTTACGCTTTTCCTAACATGGCAAGGCTTTTTGCAAAATGTGTTATTATATTTGCCAGTAAATATGTGGGGATCATTTCAGTCTGAATTCTTTCATTATTCGAATTTATTGATGCCTAATAATCTTAATTTTTCGCAGGTGTTTTTACCTGTATAAATTGATAAAATATATAAGCTTTTTAAATCTTTTCCCTTACTGGTAATGTGAGTTACCCTTTGCCGTTCAGATTGGCATCTAAACCAATGAATGGTTATGGGGTTTAGTTCATGCATTTTTGCGTGTGTTGTCAGCCTTCTAGAAATGAAGAAAATAATTTCACAAGTTTTTTTTTTGTGTAATTGAGTCTATTTTTGTACAAGTATTGATGTGATGAGAGTTATGTATCCTATTGTGATCACCAGAAGGGCAAATTATTAGGTGCCGACATCGGACAAAGAGAACCATTTGGATTTCTCTGTATTTACAATAAAAGCGCAGTTAAAGCACAGCTGCTACAATAACTGTGCTTTGATTATGCTTTTACTGTAGACAGAGAAATCCAGTATTTGCACCTAATATTTTCTCCACCAAAAGAGGCTGATAATAGTGTTCTTAATACACTCAGGTACATTCACAACATCATTAGATTCAATGAGTTGCTTGCCAATTTTCATTACACGATAATTATATATCATAATCATCTTAGTCTTTTATATTAAACCAAGGAAGAGTAAAGTTGGGGGGTCGAAGTTGGTAGATTGGCAGGCGTGAGGGGTAAGTGATGGTAGGTAGAGCTGGTGGGTAAACAGGTACAAGGTCTCGTGTTTGCCTATGGCTCGAGGCTATAGCGATTGGAACCCACGGGTGTGTAATTGACAGACGGGAGATTATTGAGTTTGGACACATGACACAGCTTACGTTCGGTATTCACAGTACTGAGCTCCGTACTATGAAGTACTGAGTACCGAGCAGTATTTAGCTCGGTACTGAGCAGTACCGAGCTGCACGGTACCGAGCTCAGTACTGTTTGGTATTGCTCAGTACTGAGCTCAGTACTGAGTAGTAGGTGATGTGATGTATTTTTATTGGGCTGCGAATACGTTTGGTGTCTGAACCCAATAATTTGCCATGACAGACAGGATATCTTAACTTATTCTCCTAAGTTTCCAAGGCGCTCTCAAGATATTAAGCAAGAAAGTCCTGTACTATGTTTTCTGGAGTGGTTGATACCTTTTGCTTTATGATGGTGGGTAAGAGGGCTGCAGAGTAGAGGACTTTGAATTGGAGTATTAGGAGTCTAAGGAAACCAAGAATTACACCCCAAGGAGCTAACATTTTGAATCAATCGAGGGATTGGGGTCATCATATTAGTCTGAAATGCATCTAATAGGCCTCCGTAGGAAAAAAGGGGCCAAACAAAATATGCAACTATGATAATTTAATATTTATTTGTTATCTTATTTTGATTGCAACTTGCATAAAATTATTAATTAGTCATTAAAATTCACATATTTGTAATAATGTATATGGCATTGAAAAAGTTATATAATGCATGAAAGTACTGTTGTGGGAACCACCCACTTTTATTCTCTGTCCATTATAAAGCTTAGACGTCTATTTGATTGCTCTTGAAATGAGGAAGCTATTTTTTCGACTTTTAAAAGTAAAATTTAAAGAAATTTTGTTAAAAATTTATTTAATTGTCCATACAGGAAGTGATACTTCATTTTTTTGAAATGTCAAATGTCTAAAGAATTTAATAATACTAGTTTTGTTGCACGTGCATTAAATGCACGTAAAAAAAGAATTAAAAATAAAAATTTATATTATGAATATTTTAATTATATTATCATTTTTTTAAAAGGAGAAAATATTAAGTTTATTAAAGAAGAAAATAAATGCAAACCAGTTATTATTGATAGAAATGAGTTTATATGAAAATTTAAACAAAGCTATTATTAAGTTGAAGATGATTTAACTTGTTATTATACTTAATTTATATGTTTTTTTCAAAATAGCTTGGAATTTATATAAAACATAAGAATGAATTTCAATATATTGTTTAAATCAAAATAGAAAAATATTATATATTTTTGGCTTAAACCAAATCTCATAAATAACAAATGTTCACTTTCTTGACAAGTGCACACTATTACATTACTTATAAATTTTGCAAGATTCTAACCTCGGTGAAGGATATCAGGACTGAAGAACTGAAATCTTAAATATTGATTAAAAATTTTAATAAATTTGAAAATTTTCGGAAAGCATCTATAATACATTCAAAATTTTAATTGATGAGCATAAGGTTTAGTTGATGTTATATTACTTAAAATATAACAACTTTATAACATATACAAAAAGAGGGATAATTATTACAAAAAAAGAGTAGCCATTAGATCCTCGTGAGCAATTTTCTATTTTAGGCATGTAGGATGGAAGAAAGAAATATTTTCAATAATATTAGATCAACAACAATATATGCATATACTAATTTTTTTACATAACATAAGACATTTTGCAGAACTTACTAAATAATGTTTAGATTTAAAAGAAAATAGATAATTAATTTTATGCATCTAAATGAAACTCTATCTAATTAATAGTGGAGAGAGTGATGTCAAGAAATTAAAATAAAACAATTAAAAAAAATGCTTTTTCAGTCACATTCATATCATGGCTATAACTATGAAAATAACATATCCCTAGTAGATAGGATAGAAGGTGAGAAAGGAAAGTTTTAAAACTCGTTTGAAGCTTTTCCTTCCATGGGGGTCTGAATTATGGCAATTGATAAAATTTAAATTTTCAAAATTAATAATTTAAAACTATAAATAATATTAATTTATTTAAATTTATTGTTTAAAAATAAACATTGAAATAAATAAATGTGTTTTTATGATTAAAATTAGTAGCGTGCACAGATGAAAAAAAAAAGAATTCCTACACTTTTGATCTAAAATATTATAAGATTGCTTAATACATATGGTAGCATTAAATTTATACAATTGTGTACATGGCAACATATTAAGATGATAGCTAGTTAACGCATCAACCAAACATTACCTGTTAAGGCAATTTACTAAAAGAGATTAAGGGCATTGAGATACTAATGAAAGCTTATAAGTTTTAAAATAATATTAAAAAAGTACAAATAATTCATATGCAATATTAAAATATAGTATTACCTATGCCTGCAAATATTAAAGTTTTCATGCTAGCATGGATAGCCACAATGTCAAAAAAATTTTAAGACAATAAAGAGTTTAACGAAAGTTTTAGCTTGATTTTGTTTATGCTTTTAGATCCTTCACTAAAAAATTAGAAAAAAAAAGTAATGATTTGTATCAAGATAGTCTTAAAAGCTAGTGCCTTAAGATTAGTGCAATATAGACTATTATATGTAACATTAATCTTATAAACAGACATAACATGTACTTACTAAAAAAAGTTGTCACAAGCTCAAATTTTTAGTCTCTTCGTCCGACCCAATTTTAGCCTCTTTCATCTTTGATGGAAAAGAAATGGTGAGGATTGCTTAAGGACAAAATCACAAACAACATTTATATATTAGTATATATTGTGAAATATTTATGTGTTCCCATTATTTACAGACATTGCGCTTATATTAGTACATATTGTGAAATATCTCTGCATTCCAATTTCCAAATACTTGCAGACATTGCACTCCTAGTTGAAGAACAAAGAGAAGTATTAGATAATATTGAAAACCAAGTTTGTTACAAAATATTTTCTATGTTGAGATCAATAAAATAACAAAATGCATTTAACTACATTGTTAGATGTTTCCTATGAATTATTTTTAACTTGAGAATTTGTGTTTGTATATTGATGATATTATGTCTTTCTTATAGATTTCTATTTAATCAAAATGATTAAAATGACTAAAAAATAAATTGATTACTATGTTTTTTTTTTTTTGCATATTGAAGGCGATATGAAGTAAATTCATTAAAAATAAACTTAATTAATTTGACTATGCACTCTACATAAGATTTCTGAAGGAAATGAACAAATAAAGCTAAGTTCAAATTTTACTTCAAAAAATAATTTTGCATTCAAATATTTAATTCACATAAAGCTTGTACCCCAACCAATGAAAAACACTCAAATTACATTGTTGAGGAAAAATTTGTTGTCTATTTGTTAAGTATGAATTCTTCATATATTGTTATTTACATCTTTTTTTTGGAGGAAATTCAAAATATTTTTTTGGGGGAAGTTATTTACATCTCAAGAATACCAAAGAAAAAACATAAATGCATTATTACTTTAAATGCTTGAAACAAGAGAAAAGAACTAAGTTGCATCAGAAGAGAAGAGTCTAGAGTTTACCTAACTTGTGAAGTAGGACATTCCAACAAGGAGCTGGGAATTCTTCAACCTCATAGCATGTTTACTCTGCTTTCAAATAGTGCCAGGAGTATTTACGGAAACTGCAAAGAAAAAAAATTGATACCTCTGCGGTGAGTTCCCATCGTTACTTTAGCGACTCTTTTGAAACTATTATTTAACGTGAAGCACGCGAAATCACAGCCATTTTCCTGGTAGATTTTAAAAGATTCATGTACTAATTTTTTTTCAGAAATTTCAAAACTCTTTTTCAAGCGAAGCATGAGAATGAAGACGCCAAATAGATGATGTGATGAGATGAGATGAGAAGATGAGCCTGAGCTCCCGTTGTGACTTTCGATCGATCGGTCAGGAGGAGAAGAAGGCCAAGAAGCTTTTTAGCGATTCTTTCAAAAGAAATCTAGCTGAACCGAGACAACATGAGAAGAAGACGAATAAATAAATGAAGAGATCGGAATGCGAAGAGGCATGAAATAAGATGGAGCAGATTAAACGTTTACCTTTGTCTTCCAAATACTTAAGTACAATTAAGTAATTAATAATTAAAATAAATTAAAGATTTTTAGCAATTCTTTAGACATCATGAAAAATTGAGATGAGAGAAGAAGATTAAGCGATTAGGGTTTAGGAAGGGGATCGGAATGCGAAGAGGCATTAGATTAAACGGTTTCCTTCATCTTTCAAAAACTGAAATGCAATTAAGTAATTAATAATTAAGATAAAAGAAATATATGTCAAAATATTTATTATATAAACAATACACATATATTTTTATAATTATTAAAATGAAATCCAAGGGCCACAATAAAATTTAAATGAATAAAATGATCGATCGATCAGGATGTGAATGAATAGTAGTTTATCTTATCTAGATTTATTTGCTAAAATAGTAAAATGAAATATTATTATGTGTTTTAAATCTACTAATTAGGTTAAATTTCATAATTAATTGTATTTAATAGGTGTTGGGTTATCTAAGCGCTAGCCGTTTGGTATGTAATAGTTGTTTAATAGGTTGCCGGTTTTTTTTAATTAAAATCAATTAATATGATACAATTTTGATGTAATAAAAATTATAAATGTAAATTAAAGAGTAATTTAAAATAATAAAATGCAATTTAAGGAGCCGTTGAAAATTATAAATACAATTTAAAGAGCAATTTAAAGTAATAAAATGCAATTTAAAGAGCCGTTTAAAGTAATCAAAAATTATAATACAAATAAATGAAGGGCAAAAATTATAAATACAATTTAAAGAGCCGTTTAAAGTAATAAAAATTTATAATACAAATACATGAAAGGCTAGGATAATTTTTGAAGAAATAAAATGAAAGGACAAGATTTGCTTGGGGTGGAAACTCAAGCCCCTTTTATAATAGTAGTATAGATATACACACACCCCCTTTTGCACGGGAAAAGAGTGAAGGAACAAAAGATTGAGTCAACAAATGGGTTGGACTCGAATAGGTAGAATGAATAGTGAGTTGGGATTGGGAGCACTTTCGCATGCGAGTCGGTCAGGTCGGACACTAGTCTTATAATGCAGAGTTTAATGTGGAGTTTATTGCATATATATTATAATAATGTATACATATTTTTAGCTTGTTTAATACATAATTTTTAAGAAAAGTTATCTTCGTTAAACCAAACATGCTTTACGTACTATATGCCAATTTTTTACTATTGTTACATAATATCCTTTATTTAACATGAATATTGGATTAAAATTCATTCATGCGCCCCTTATCTCCTAGAAGTTTGCCTTCACAATTAGTTCATCAAGAGCCACTCCTTATTAAGGTTGATCCCTAGCTTTCACTTCTCAACTATGCAAACAACTCTCTTTGGAATTAGTTATTACAAGTCCACCAGCTTTTGCTTTTGATCATCTGATTTGAACCACACATCATATTTAATGAAATCATATTTTGATACTGATTATAATAACCTCGGCTACACTAGAAAATATTATTTACTTTGGGCCAATATGTCCATAATGGGTCAGATCTCATGACTTTATTCTTTTATTGTAATTTTTTATGAGGTACTTTATCTTATAAATGTTGCATTACTATCACACTTAATTGTGGAGTTCTTAAGGGAATTCATGCATTGCATTAAAATATGACATATATATTATGAAAAATATATTTTTTTAAAATTTATTGTAATATCTTTTCCCCCACATTCCATATAGGATTAAGGTCATTCATGCCTCTTCATCTCTTATAAGCTTATTAGGAACTGTTTTTTTTCCTATTCACTCCTTGCTCAAGTAGACCAACCTATTAAAATTTAGGTATTATAATTACCCTCTGTCTATTGGCTATAAATATATATACATCCTATACCTATCATCAATTTGTAGGTCCAAGACATTGTTTGTAATCATTTGAAGGAAAGCTCATTAGTCAACCCTCTTCAATAGGGTTATATTTAACAAAACAAACAAATAGCTTTAAGCCAACCCTTCTTTTCTATATAGTTCCCAATATTCAAACATCATAGCTAGGAGTCTCCCAATTCATACATAACAAATGGGGCATCATAAAATTTTTTTTTCAATGTTTCTAATAAACCCATATTTAAAAAATATAGACAATGTATGCGTTACAAGATACTAATATTTACTAATAAAAAAATATATGTTCATAACACGTGAAATTGCTTCCAACATGCTTAGGATTGTACATGAAACATCATACCATGCATAGGAACATGTAAAGAATAAAATCCCAATAAATTATACAACATACAAATCACATGCATGATTATTATATTCAATAACATATGAAATAACATGTAATAAATTTATTAAATAGCATGAAATTCATACACATGATAAAACACCTAATGACAGACTAAAGCATCGTCGGAAAACATAATGCCCGCTAAAAATTTATTACAAACTCCTGAATTGCATAGGAATGTAAGAGTACAAAAATGCCAAAAATTAAATGATGAAAATCAACATTCCACAATAAAATTCTCATTTTATAGAACTACTATTGACCTATTATTATATATGAAAAATAATAATACCACACTTACATTGCCTCAATTGCCTATGATCCCATAAATGATGTGGAAAAATGAATTAAAAATAGGGGGGATAAAATTATAATTAAGGGTAAAATCACAACATTTCTTCTTCCCTTGTTAACTATAACACACTTCAGCTAAATAATTGAATCATGAGTTCATTAAAAGAGTGCTAGTTTGTAGTAGGGTATGGTTTCATTATGAAATAAAGATTGAGCTCTTGATTATATCTCTATCTTCTCTTCTCTTTTTCTCTCTTTCTAATTCTTCTACTATTACTAGTAGTAAGCATGACAAGATGATAGTTTATATATTATTCTAATTGTCAGGTCTATTTAAAATCAATTCATGATAATCTAAAAAAAAAGAATAACAAATGAATATATTAGTGAGACATAAGATAAAAATAGTAAAAATATATTAAAAAGTTTGGATATTACAATAATATGTTTGAGCTTCCATACATTCTTAGACATTGCACCTTCTTGATCACACATGCTAGAGTTTTTAAAACTAACTCTACATCAAAATTACATAGAGCAAATTTCTGAAACTTCTTATTCAATGATATTTTTCACTAAAGAAATCATACTTCTCTTAACAAGCAATAAATTATTTGTATTTTATCTAACAAAATAAAGAACAACCATCAAGCACCTAAGGTCTTCCCTCCATCAACACAGATGATTTGGCCGGTGATGTAAGAAGCAGCTGGAAGACAAAGGAATGCTGTAATAGATGCCACCTCCTCAGGCTCACCGATACGCCCGAGAGGCAAAATAGCCATTTGTCTTGCCACTTCTTTATCCTCAAGATACTGTCACAAATGACCAAAATAAACAAGGAAGGGTCAATATTTTTCCCTCTTGATACATTGATTCCTATGCTACTTTTAAATCTCAAATACATTCCAATTTTCAGTGAACATTTTTGAATATATAGATGAATCAATCTTCTAACTTACAGGCATGCTTAGTGGGGTTCTTGTAACTCCTGGAGCCACACAGTTAGCTCGAATGCCATCTTTACCCCATTCACTAGCAAAGTTTTTTGTAAGTTGATTCAAAGCTCCTGAAAATAGCAAGTAAATGAAGCTAGGAATTGAATCATATCAAGGCTGTATTTGTAGTAGATTTTTTTTTTTTCATGAAGCTAGGCATTAAAACCTTTAGTTGCAGAGTAGATGGCTATGTCTGGGTAGCCTAATAGTCCAGCAATCGATGAGATAAAAACAATGCTGCCTTCTCCAGATGCTTTGAGAAGAGGATGGGCTAATTGGCTGAGATGGAAGGCTGATTCTAAGTTGGTAGACATCATAAAAGAGTAGTCCTCAGCTGTGGAGTCAACTATTTGCTTTCTTAAGTATGTTCCTGCATTATTTATCTATATTCAAAGGGCATTGTTAATATTTTGGCACAAAAAAATGAAAATTTTACATTAATAGGTAAGCCCAATTAAAGGAATAAGGAGAATCATGTCTGTGGATCAACCTTTTAGCCAGATTATTTATAGAACTATTTTATTATATTAATAATATTATTTTTGACTTACAAGTATATTCAGCTTCCCATGGAATAATGAAGAGACCTTCTCAATCAACTTCACCCTTTGTTCATGAGAAGAGACATCACAAACTGACCCTGTGATATTAAAATTTGAACCTCTCCACTTATGCAAGCAGCTTTCAAGTTCTTCTTCATTTCGGGAACATGTATGAACGGATGCTCCGAGTGCAGCTAACTCTTCAACAATGGCATACCTAATAGAAATTATCAAATCAAATCAGTTTTAATCATAATGGCTGTAAACCCTAGTTTCATGGCCTTGTTAGTGATGATCATGACGACGACACCTAGGTCGTTCATGAGGAGAGTCTTCTATGTTAATATAAGGCTTTATTAGCTGTCATATATACTTTTTTGCTATTGAAAAAAGAAGAAACTTGCTTCTTATATTTATTTTTGCAAGTGAACATATAAAATTTCACTACTCATCATTAAATTTAAAATCTGATCAAAACTTTAACATGTATTATTTATCAAAACATTGTTGAGTAGTGAAATTTGACAGCTAAGAAACGGCTCCAAAGGGATGTAGAACTCGTTGAAAAATACATTGTTGAGCCTAAAGTTTTGATCAAATTTGATTGCCAAGTCATAAATTACTACAAGTATTTTTCAACGCTTCCTATAAACATTTTGTGAGTTTCTACAAGTATTATTTATCACCTTTAATTATCATGTGAATAGATTATTACTTAATGTTGAAGAAAATAACTCATTCTCTTGCTTTATTCAACCAAAGGGTAAAGGTAGAGGGGGAGAGGTGACAAGTAGCGAGTTCAGAGGTTAGTACTTAAGTTAGTTGGTGTCATATAGAGGAATTTCTCTGTTGATCGGTCGGCAATAAGCACAAAGGCTGAAGTTGATATTTAGAAGCTATAGACCTTCTTCATAAGAGAGAATTAGCAACTGTAATTGGGTCTAGTGATTAATGAGATTTTCTTACATAGAAGTTGGTAAGCATTCTCTTATCTATTATGTGATAGCTAGAGGATAAATTAGTCTTATAATAGAAGAGGGAATATATACGAGACATTATAGGAAAAATGTTAAATTATTGTGAAATTTTTGTTAGACTATGTTATGATGGAGAGAATGAGCCATATTTTGAGTCCTAATGTGGTCCATTAACAAGTTTCAATATAGTAAAGGAAAAAAATATAAGGTTTTATGAATATATGATTTTTGATACAGTAGGTTCACAATTTTGGGAACATAGATAAGAGCCACCGTACCAAATAGGGATGCAATGAACTTTTATGAATTTTTTTTTTTAGCTCAACAACTAATTTGGGATGGGCGCAACACTTAATTACTTCAAAGTTATCAGTCGCAGTTAGGATACTCAGTATTAAGACAGAGTGCAATGTTCCTTGAGTGTGTTTCAATCAATTTATCGGTCTGCTTAAGGAGACTAACCATGTAGATAATCTAATAATTATAGTAGATTTAGAAAAGACTAAAATGCTCAGGTTGGATTTGCTATAAAGATAGATTATCTACATGTTGTACTATAAGGATGACTTGACAGTGACTGTTTGACGCCACTACAGCGCACTTATATTTAAACCAAAATATAGAAAAAAGAAGGATGTTTAGTTTAATCACTTATTTTTTTTACCTATCATTCCAAGGCTGCAACATTTATATGCATCAATGAGTTCAATTGCACACATGAGATGATATCTGTTTTACTATATAAGTATGTGAATGTGATCAAACCACATAAATCCTCTTGTGTTATTCTTTGGTTGTTCTTGCGAATTATTATTCTTTTAGTCTCTTTCTTCATTGCTTTAGGTGCATACTTTCCCCCAACAACTAGTATTAGAACTAGGCTAGCTTTGAAGTCAATGGGAAAAGTAAAAAAAAAAAAAAAAAGGGAAAAGTCGTGGCAATGATGTAGGAACATAGAAGGTGAGAATTGACGGATTTGATGGCAAAGACTTAGGTAATGGAAGATGTAGATCGAGGACTAATTTCAACAAAAGAAATTAAGTATACTCTTAGAGAGATGAAGCCCAATATCATTAGTCGTGTAGAAAGGGAGATCATGGATAGAAAGCCATAAGAGTTATACATGTGGCACTTAAAATTAAGAAAGCTACAATCAAAATATGGCACAAGAGTATCACAAATGGTAGAAATTATTCTATGCGGAGACCAGATGCAGAACGTCGTCAGGAGACCAACCAGAATGCGCCGCATCAGCGGTATCGAGCCTAGATACCGAGTAGTACTGAGCCGCGGTACCGAGCACAGGGGTGACATGACGCATTCTCGTTGGTCTCCAGATGACATTCGACGTCCGCACAAAATAATTAATCCACAAATGGAGAGTTGGCGGCATTGTTTTATAGATAATCTAATTATAGCACATTTAGAAAAGACTAAATTAATGCTCAGGTTGGATTTGCTATAAAGATAGATTATCTACATGTTGTACTATAAGGATGACTTGATAGTGACTGTTTGACGACACTACAGTGCACCTATATTTAAACCAAAATATAGAAAAAAGAAGAAGGATGTTTAGTTTAATCAGTTTTTTTTTTTACCTATCATTCCAAGGCTGCAACATTTATATGCATCAATGAGTTCAATTGCACACATGAGATGATATCTCTTTGACTATATAAGTATGTGAATGTGATCAACCCACATAAATCCTATTGTGTTATTCTTTGGTTGTTCTTGCGAATTATTATTCTTTTAGTCTTTCTTCATTGCTTTGGGTGCATACTTTCCCCCAACAACTAGTATTAGAACTAGGCTAGCTTTGAAGTCAATGGGAAAAGCAAAAAAAAATAATAAATAAATAAAATAAATAAAAAAAATGGGAAAAGTCGTGGCAATGATGTAGGAACATAGAAGGCGAGAATTGACGGATTTGATGGCAAAGACTTAGGTAATGGAAGATGTAGATCGAGGACTAATTTAAACAAAATAAGTTATGTATACTCTTTCGTGAAAGAAAGGGAGATCATGGATAGAAAGCCTTAAGAGTTCTACATGTGGCACTTAAAATTAAGAACACTACAATCAAAATATGGCACAAGAGTATCACAAATGGGAGAAATTATTCTATATATGCGGAGACCAGACGCAGAACGCCGTCAGGAGACCAACAAGAATGAGCCGCATCAACGGTATCGAGCCTCGATACCGAGTAGTACCGAGCACAGGGGTGACATGATGCATTCTGGTTGGTCTCCGGATGACGTTCGACGTCCGCACAAAATAATTAATCCACAAATGGAGAGTTGGCAGCATTGTTTTATGTGGCCGTTAAATCTTCAATGGTGTACAAGATATATCTATTAAGAATATTTTTAATTTCAAGATAACTGAATAGCTTCCACAATAATGCATATTACTTCAATCTAATCATAATTTAGTTGAGTCATGGTTAATTAGAATTTATAAATTAAGTAACCACGGAAATTAGTAATTATTTTGTAATAGAACTTATAATTTAGCTAAGGTTATAAGTATGCATTAATTTGTTTAAACAATGATTAAATGAATTAATTAGGTTTAATTAATTAAGGATACAATATAGATAATTTAATTAAAAGTTACTTAATCTAGATAATTTATATTATTTAATACAAGAGCTAGTGAATTAGGATAAACTAAGCCGTAATAAGGAAAATTACCCCTTAAATGATCTAATCATAGATTATTTATACTTAATTGAATAAAATAAAGTTATATTAGTAACTCATAAGAATAATTATAGCAAATAATTGCTAATTAATACTAATAAATTATTCTTTAAAAATTAATTGAGCTTTGTTAGATTAATTAATGCTTATTCAGCCAATTAATATATTTATTATACCTTAACGGTATACAAGTATTAAATTATTAACAATATTAAAAGGCTAATCCTTAAATCTCAAGAGTTAAATCCTGAGAATAATTTGATTCACTAAATCCAATAATTCCAAGAATTAAGGTTGGATAAGTAAATCAAGCCAAATCATGGAATAAATTAAGCCTCTTAAAGCTATTATATACATAAATCCTCAAATCCTTGTTGAGGTTTTACTCTTTCTCATATATATTTTTATCATACAAAGTTGGTTCCATTGACCAATAGAAAAATTAAAATTCTTAGCATATAAAAGGTTATTTGTAATCTGCGCCCCTTTTGAATTTTTTTTTTTGCCTACAGCCGACCTTTTTTTTACACAATTTGCCCCTCCAAAAATCGGAAAGTCTCTTAACCTCCAGCTATTTTTATTCAATTATGTTGAACTTTTTTAATACTAACAAATAAATCTATGAAAATAGATTATGTTCAAAATAAATTATTTTTACACTATTATGTATTTTTTTTTTTAAAATTTGTCACTCATCCCCTAAAAACTAAGGGTAGTACCGCCCCTAAAAATAATGGATGAGTACACCAAATGTAAACTACAGACCTAAAAAAAATTCAACGCTTAACCATTAGATCCTTTTTTTAATTTGTTCGAGCTCTTGGAGACTTGGATCATAGTTTGTAAATCGAAAATCCTAATCAATTTTGTTTTTTTTTTTCTAAAACAATAAGCCTAGGTCGATAAAGATCAAAGGACTTTTTCAAGATAGTTGAAGCATTTTAATGAACAGCAGGTGGGCGAGTGGATGAACTGAGAATTAAGAGTTAAAAAGGAGAAGAGGGAGGGAAGATATATCAAATGATTTGATAAATCGTAAAGTATCTGAGATTATAAAAGCTTATAAAAGTCTCGCCTGTTCATCAAGAGGGAAATCATTACAGTACTATTTGGTCTTTATAGCGACAGACTGCAGTGGCCGATTTAATAAACGGAAACGTATGTTATCAGAGAAGGTTTTGCACAGAAGAGACTGAGAAAGAGAGACGATAAATTACCCTATCGCTTTGGAGCCGCCGGTGACGAGAGCAGTCGCTCCACTAAGAGACCATCGGCGAAGTATACTGGCGGCGGCGCTATGGTTTTCTCCTCCTCCTCCGGCCATTAATTAATTTCTTCTACCGTTTTAGTTTCTTAAGCTTCAGAAATTATTATTGTCGGTTGAGTGAGCGGCGAGCTTACCGAATTTGGGTGGATATAAACCTGGACATGGATCATACTCTCGCACCTAACAATTTCTTCTCGTGGGAATTGAATGCCGTGGTCCTTTGTTTTTTCGTACAAGGCGCATTGGGGACGCGAGGAACAATGAATGGCCATTCATCATACATGGAGATTCGTGCAATTCAGCAATGGAGTTATCCATCGTTTTCAATGGGGAGGGATCCCATCATGGATTTTTGCATATATTTTAATTTCTTTTTAATTAAATCGAATTGCAATTTTACTGATATATATTTTACCTTTCTTATCATTAAAAATTTATTTTGTGTGAAATGTCTGGTTCTTGCCGTCGTGTCGCCTTATTTATTATGTTAAAAATCAAAATGATTTGAGGCTGTTTGGTATGCAGAATTATTAGAGTAAAGTGATGCATTTACCCGTATTTCCTAAATTACTTAGGGGCTGTTTGGTTGCCTGAAAAAGAAATGCAGTGTAAAATAAATGCAGTGTAAAGTAAATGCAATATATTATGAATACTTTGAGACTGTTTGGTTGTTTGCAAAATAAACACAGGAGAATTGTTTCCCTTGTTTGGTGAGGTAGAACCAGAGTAAAGTAAAAACGGCTTTTTTATAATAATTTATTTTTACACCTTTAATTTGAGCTTGAGCTTAATTAATTAATTATGATGACAAGTACTTCATTTGGAACGACTTTCTTATTGCTTCTTAAAACAACTTTTCAATTTAAAATTTTTAATTTTTACATTTACACTGAAAAATGGCTTTAAGAAGCAATAAAAAAAATCATCCCAAACAAAATTTAAGTCTTCATTTGGGACAATTTTTTTATTGCTTTCTAAAACAACTTCTTACTACATAAAATTTTGTTCAAAAAGGCTTAATATGTATGTCATATATGTTCTCAACTTCAATCGACTGGAAGATGTTTTAACTAAACAAATAATCATTTGGGATAGTTTTTTTATTATTTTTTAAAATAGCTTTTTTTAAAAATTTTTTCCAAAAACTATTTTAGAAAACAGTAAAAAAATCATCCCAAACAAAACCTAAGTGGAGTGTTGTTTTATTAAGTATAATGCAGATGACCTTTTTTTTCCAATCACCATACAGTCACTCATAGTAACTAATAACTCATAGAACAATTAGATCTAAATTGTTTTCCAAAAGCTGAGTCAATAGAATTCTTTCACAATACATATCACTTTGAACTAAAAACTCTTCTACTCATTATGTAACAGAATAAATGCTTCTGATCTAAATTTTGCGACTTATTTGCACAGAATAAAACATATTTGAACAATTTCTGTGTAAAAAATCAAATAAGAAGCATAAAAATACATTAAGAACTAACTACATATTCACCTGAGATGCAAAATCTAAGGCTGGAAGAAGAACTAATCATCAGGAACAAGATTCAGAACAATATTATACAGTAAGAATCACCATTTTCTACTGTGTATTATTGAATAAACTCAATGTATACCATGTTGGCTGAAATCCATTCCTAGACATCTCCTCCATCCATTTTTCAGCATATTTCCTGCAACCAAGTTTGCAAAAACCATGAACCATAATGTCGAAGGTCCATCGATTGGGCTCATAGCCTTTATCTTTTATCCTATAGAACAAATTCCAAGCAAAGTCCATTCTCCCTGTCAAAAATGATCCCCTTAACAATACATTATATGTGTAAATGTATTTAATTAAAACTTTAAGAAACCAAAATTTCAACTAAAAAAATAGTTTTGATTGCTAGTAATATTTGTTATTTCTCCCATAACAGTCAGCACAAATATCATTTCCGCATACTTTCCTCAGCAAATCAATTGGCTTTTCATGCTTGATATTGAACCTATGTTGTTGTGAGATTCGGTGAAAACGCTCAGATGCTCCTGTAGCACTATTCCGTTCAAATGAAGATTCTTCAATTGCTACGTGATCAAGATCAGTTGAGCTGTCAAATGAACTACTCTCACTGGCAGTGCGATGATGACCACTACTCAGGTTGGTCTTTGTCAGGGGTAATAGAAGAATACCAAAGATCGACAACAAAGTCCTGTAAAATCTTATAAATAAAATCATCTACGGCAGTCTCCACAATAGGCGAATCAATTTTTCTTCTCCATTTTGTTGTAGTTGTCACCCGAGAAAGACGGGGATCATCAACAGATAACCGCTTCTTCTCCAAATGTGACAAGTATGTCTGTCGTTGGACTGCCCGCACCTTCCAATGGAGCTCTACCTCATATGATAGATAGCGGAAGGCAACAAGGATATGAACTGATACAGGATAAACAATGTAGATGCTAAACTACAAAGATTAAAGCTTGCGGCATGCATTTTTGTGAAAGCCTACAAAGGAGACAAGAAATATGTTCAATTCAGCAAAAATGCCATTTTCCCTGTTAATAAACGATAAAAATATTGGTTGGAGATTTCAAACAAATCAAAGATCTTTCATCTAAGGCAATAGTGTAATTAATAAGCTTGTCTGACCAAGTATTGTGCCAGTATTTACAACAACGACGCCATTCGTCTCGAGCGAATTTATAACCCACTCGATACGAGCGGGTTTCTAATTCCCGCAAAACAGCCTTCTTATTACACGCCTAATGCATCAGAAGAGTTTTATTTGTTCCACTCAAAATTAACCAAACACCCTAATTTAGTAAATACATGTATTTATTTTACTTTACCCTCCTAATTCAGGCAACCAAACAGCCCCTTAGTTTGGTTGATTTTGAGCGAAAAATTAAAAATTCCTCCGATGCATTAGCGGTGTGTTACTAAAGCCCTTTCCTGCGACTTCAAAACCCGCTCAAATTGAGGGGGATACAAATGCTATGGGCGCCTAGACGCTGCTGGCGTTTAGCGCTTCCCTCGCCATTAGCCATTCCTCCAATCATAATCTTCGCTGGCGTCCTCATCGTGATGCCGGAATCTCCTCGCTGGCCGCCGCGGTGGCCGAGCCGCAACGCAAGTCATGTGATGTCCGCGTCCGGAGCACTCTATTGTCCTTGTTTCACCAGGAAGACTGAGATAGGATCGTCCAAGGTGGCCAAAAATTCCTCATTTCATCATCCGTTGTTGCATCCAACGTCTTGGCGGCCGGCGAGATTGAGGTTGATGCGGACTCGGTCCTCATACTGGAGACTTCAATGCTAGGCCAATGGAGACTTAAAAAATCACATATCTTCCCACCGGTTCAGAGACACCCCGTCGGAGATCGCTGTCGATGCTTTTGGTCGCCGCTCTTGCGACATCGCTCCAACGTTCTCTCTTGATGCTGGTCGCATCTCCTTCGACGACTAGAGATGCACGGTGTACGGGCCCAGGGCTTCTTGGGATGGTTGTCTCGTTAACAGTGATCGATCGTTGCCTTCTAGGCTTCCGGCGAAGCTCGCCGTTGTTGAAGACTCCGTCCAACGTACTGACGGCCTCATCCCTGTGGAAGAGGATACAAAGACGCCTGGCTGCTCAGCGCAGACAAGTCCTAAAATATTATATTTTTCTTATTTGATTTTTAGGAATTTATTGGATAAGCTTATTTTAACAACAAGCTCTAGTATAGTTTGGCAACTAAAAATTTTTGTTTCATTTTTTTTTTCAAAAATATAATTCGTAATATTTGTAACAGTTTTTATAAAATATAATATTTTAGGATTGTTTAACGATTATTTTTACAGACAATACTGTTCAACTAAATTTGTTGCGTTGAGCATATGCACAAGTGCAATTTGTGGTAAACTAGATAATAGAACTAATAGCGTTTGTGTTGAAATACATATACATGGAGTAAAAGTTATTATGAAGACATTACTTTTGTAAATACACTAGTTGTACTGTCTAAATAACATACATTCAATAACTTTGAAGAGAATGACTAGTGGTTGGATTATGTTAGCTATGGAATAAATTTAAAATGTAGATTATTAATGAGTTGGCGGTTCATAATAGGTCTTTGCACTTCATATTTAGTTAGGCATATTAAGTTGTTATTAGGTTGTTAATGACTCATAGGTAGTCATTATATTATATAAATACTTTTTTGAAATGAGATAATTAGGTAACTTCAAGCTTGTCCAAAACTCTAGAAATACATCGAGGAAGAAGAGAATGATAATTCAAGGGTTCCCACAACTCTGCATATTCATTAAGGGAAGCTAGAGGAAGGAGTAAAAGCTCATATCACTTATCTTGCATATCCTATTTTTTTTTTACTAAGAATGAGCATTCATAAAATACAAATATACTCATTAGATATTTATTAAACACCTACCTATCAAATAATATGACCCATAATGACTTATTAACACATAATCTACCAATTGCATTTATTGTCTAACAGACTGGCTGACTCCCCTTAATTGAAACATCTAGAGTTATTAGACACTCGAGGATTGGATCTTGATGCCTATTAAATCAAAATATTAATTTTGATTTACATCGTGAATAAAATGGAATTTGAAGTTGACCATTAAATTTATATTGATGGTTTTGAAGTTGATTGTGGAGATAAACTAAATTGGACCGTCATATTTATAACGAAAGTCTCGAGTTCAACTCCGCTTAAATGTATCGATCACATTAAGCTTGATCTAATGATTGACACAAATCTTGATAGGATCTAACAAAAACGGATCTATAAAAATCATCATATATACCATCTAACCATCATTTTATGCACGAAGATTCAAGGGGCATGAATCTTAACACTCTAGATCGATCGAATGATTATAATAATTAAAAGTTAACTTTTTATGTACACGTTAACTTTCCTAAAGGAAAAAAAATGTCCACCTCTGTTATCATATAAGCTACACCTACACCTAATTATTCGATGTTGATGTCCGTTTAATCAGTCAGTCTTGCTCACAAGTGTCGTATAAAACCTCAGAAACAGAATATGAGACAATACTCCATTGCTTATGTCCAAATCGAAAGTGACAATTAAATATCGATCCCCCATCACATCTTCTATTGTAGCTGTTTATTTTATGTCCACGAGGGTGGGTTTGTTCTTTGCCTTAGATAGCTACATA